CCATTCATTTTGGTATCATTTTTGCTATTATTAGCATCATTGGTCATTTCTTCGGGTAAAAATTCATAAAAAGGACCAAGCAAATCTAAAAATTCAGATACTTCATGTGTCATTGATATTGTTTCGATAACTTTTTTCAATTCATCAACATATAATTGCATTGCTTCTTGTCTGGACATTTGACCACATTTTGTCCATGCATCCCATTTATAACGATTAATAATATCATAAAATGCAGGTCTTTTTGTTTGATTTGGTCCTTCGGTTGCTTGTTTAAAAAATGCATAAAATCTTAATCTCATTTCATTGGATGGTTGAAAAAATCCTGTTAATCAAAATTTAATGGAAAACAAGAGGAAATTTTGGTGAATTTTAATCAAAAAATTAATTTGAAATTTTTTGGGCAATCTTACCATCTTTAGGTAATGATTGTATAACTTTAACAGCAGCATCAAATTGTTGTTCAATCGACATGATGATGATGATGATGATCGCTGATTGAAAACTATCGACAAATAATCGATAATGATGATTAGTTGTGGTTGAAAATTGATTGATTTTATATTTAAATAAATTGAAGGTTGAACCAAAAAAAAAACTGGTATTTTTATTGCATCGATAATGATGATGATGGACGTAAATAGACGTTACGTAGAAAATTGTGGACGTAAATTACACAAAAAAAATTTTTATCCAATTACAAAGGATGGTATGTTCACACGAACAAACAATACCTAAATTGAAATTTAGTAAAAATATATTTTTTCTGTGTGTTTGTTTATCTGCTTGATTTGCATGTGTGACTTATTGTGCAAACTTTGTTTTTTTTTTGAACTAACAATTATCTACACAGTGTATATATTTCGCTCCAGAAAAAAATGAATGAATGACTAATTATTAATTTCAAACGAAAAAAAAAATATGTTTAAGGAAAACTGATTGACTGACAACGACATTGTTCAAAAGAAAAATTTTTAGATTTCGATGATGATGATGACAAAGTGGTAAAAGCGAAAAAAAAGAGAGAAACAACTTTTTTTCAAACAAAACACAAAACGAAAAAAAAATCGGTTTGTTCGACATACATAAATTTTTTTGTTCAATATTGAAAATCTAGAAACAAACACACACACACACACACAAAGAGATAATAAATTGTTGTCTTGTTGTTGTTGTTTGAATTCAAAGTTGAACAACACCAAACACAATTGAAGGAAATCTTATAAGAAAATTGTTTCACTATGATGATGATGGTGACTTTGATCTTTTTAAACGGCTGGAGATTTTTTTAGCTGAAAAATTCTTTTTTACACCTGCAGCGAATCCTGTGTGTGATCGAATAATGATGAACAATTGAATCGATGATTGATTTGATTTTGAGATTAATCAAAATACTTTTAATCAAATAATAATCATTATTGAAAGGTTATTCATTTTATCATCAATGGCCATTGGAAAATCCAAACAAAATTTGTTGTGTTTATTTTTCGAAAAAAAATGAGCATGAAAACTTTTGTATACTTTATACACACACACACATTGATAATACAACCGAATTCAATGTAAACATTGAATCATATATACCGTTTTGGATTCGAATCCAGAAATAGAGAGAGAGAGAGA